TTGTAAATTCCTAGAATTTATTCTCTTGTAGCAGTTGTGAATGGGAGTTCACTCATGATTTGGCTCTCTTATTATCTGGTGTATAGGAATGCTTGTGATTTTTGCCACATTGATTTTGTATCTGAGACTTTGATGAAGTTGCTTATCAGCTTAAGGAGATTTTGGGCTGAGACAATAGGGTTTTCTAAGTATACAATCGTGTCATTTGCCAACAGAGACAATTTGACTTCCTCTCTTCCTATTTGAATCCCGTTTATTTCTTTCTCTTTCCTGATTGCCCTGGCCAGAACTTCTAATACTTCCAATACTGTGTTGTCTTGTGCCAGTATTCAAAGGGAATGCTTCCAGCTTTTGCCCATTGAGTGTTATATTGGCTGTGGGTTTGTCATGAATAGCTCTTATTGTTTTGAGATATGTTCCATCGATACCTGATTTATTGGGAGTTTTTAGCATGAAGGGGTGTTGAATTTTATCGAAGGCCTTCTGCATGTATTGAGATCATCATGTGGTTTTTGTCATTGATTCTGTTTATGTGATGGATTACATTTATTGATTTGAGTATGTTGAACTAGCGTTGCATCCCAGGGATGAAGCCACCTTGATCGTCATGGATAAGCTTTTTGATGTACTGCTGGATTCGGTTTGCCAGTACTTTATTGAGAATTTTTGCGTTGATGTTCATCAGGGATATTGGCCTGAAATTTTCTCTTTTTGTTGTGTCTCTGCCAGATTTTGGTATCAGGATGATGCTGGCTTCATAAAATGAGCTAGGGAGGAGTCCCTTTTTAAAAATTGTTTGGAATGGTTTCAGAAGGAATTATACCAGCCCCTCTTTGTACCTTTGATAGAATTTGGCTGTGAATCCATCTGGTCCTTGGCTTTTTTTTTTTTGATTGGTAGGCTATTAATTACTGCCTCGATTTCAGAACTTATTATTGGTCCATTCAGGGATTTGACTTCTTCTAGGTTTAGTCTTGGGAGGGTGTATATGTCCAGGAATTTATCCATTTCTTCTAGATTTTCTAGTTTATTTGCAAAGAGGTGTTTATAGTATTCTCTGATGGTAGTTTGTATTTCTGTGGAATCAGTGGTGATATCCCTTTTATCATTTTTTATTATGTCTATTTGATTCTTCTGTCTTTTCTTTATTAATCTGGCTAGCAATCTCTTTTGTTAGTCTTTTCAAAAAACCAGCTCCTTGATTCATTGGTTTTTTGAAGGGTTTGCTGGAAAGGATATGGAGAAATAGGAATGCTTTTACACTGTTGGTGGGAGTATAAATTAGTTCAACCATTGTGGAAGACAGTGTGGCGATTCCTCAAGGATCTAGAACCAGAAATACCATTTGACCTAGCAATCCCATCACTGGGTATATACCCAAGGGATTATAAATCATTCTATAAAGACACATGCACACATGTGTTTATTGCAGCACTGTTCACAATAGCAAAGACTTGGAACCAACCCAAATGCCCATCAGTGGTAGACTGGATAAAGAAAATGTGTCACATATACCACGGAATACTGTGCAGCCATAAAAAAGGATGAGTTCGTGTCCTTTGCAGGGACATGGATGAAACTGGAAACCATCGTTCTCAGCAAACTAACACAGGAACAGAAAACCAAAGACCGCATATTCCCACTCATAAGTGGGAGTTGAACAATGAGAACACGTGGACACAGGGAGGGGAACATCACACACTGGGACCTGTTGGGGGCTAGGGGATGAGGGGAAGGATAGTATGAGGAGAAATACCTAATATAGATGATGGGTTGATGGGTGCAGCAAACCACCATGGCACGTGTATACCTATGTAACAAACCTGCATGTTCTGCACATGTATCCTAGAACTTAAAGTATAATAATAATAAAAAAAAGAAAGACAGAAAAATAATGAGATTTCCAAGAAACTTTGTACTTTCTTTGAGCCGTTGAAATCGGGCAACAGATGAATAAATTAGGCAAGTGAGAGGCAGTGGCTTTACAGGAAAAAGATCAGCTATAATTCAGCTTAGACATCCCTGTGACTATGACCCAGTGATTTTTATTACTGATTGGCCAGTAATTTCCAATGCGTAGTAGCTTACTACCTAATGAGTTGATTCGTCTGTTGGACAGAATCCATTGTTAGAAAATTCTTTCTTTTGCTGATCTGAAATCTATATCTTTTGTTACTGGCCCTTGCTTTGTTTTTTTTTGTTTGTTTTTTTTTGGGGGGGGCATAATACTTAGTAGGCCTGTTGGTTGTATTGCCCCATTAGGATTTACTTCTTCAGCTTAAATGTCTCTAGTGTCCTTCGTCTTCCTCCATATGACATGGGTTTTGAAACCTTTATCATCTTGATTATCCTTCCCTGAGTGTAATTTATCAGCATTTCTCTTAAAATGCAAGACCCAGAGCTAGTAACTGATCATGTTTCACTTAATCTGCCAGTGTGAGAGGTTGCATAGTAAAATGTAAAAAAATTTGCACTTTAGGACAGACTATATCATTAATTGTTAGTCACTTTGAGCCTAGTTTTCCTCAAATAGAAGATTATCCAACACTAATAAAAGATGAGTAACAAAGCTTTCTCGATATGGGAAATTTTGATATTAGTAAAAAGAAGTGAAATATTTTGCTTTCATGAGAAAAAAAGTATATCAACCTTCATGCTAAAAATCAAATTCTTGCTAATGTTGACGTTAGTCAACTCATATGAAAATCTAAGGAAAGAATTGTAAGATCATTTCAGTGACATTGCACTTAGTATTATTTATGTACACTTAATAATATCTTGGGGGAGGTTAGCTTTATTGCCTTTAATAGTTTCCTTTAGGTGTTGCGTTTAATCTAGCTGTTTATATTTGACGTCTATATTCTAATTTAAGTATTTGCTATGAAGAATAACTGTCACTTATTTTACTGATTTCCTGGTATGACCAAATTTATCTTAGTTTTCCTAAGTCTGTTTTTTATAACCTCACCATTTTGATTTGAAAACATTTCCAGAATCTTTTTTTTTTTTTTGAGACGGAGTCTCGCTCTGCCGCCCAGGCTGGAGTGCAGTGGCCGGATCTCAGCTCACTGCAAGCTCCGCCTCCCGGGTTCACGCCATTCTCCGGCCTCAGCCTCCCGAGTAGCTGGGATTACAGGCGCCCGCCACCTCGCCCGGCTAGTTTTTTGTATTTTTTAGTAGAGACGGGGTTTCACCGTGTTAGCCAGGATGGTCTCGATCTCCTGACCTCGTGATCCGCCCGTCTCGGCCTCCCAAAGTGCTGGGATTACAGGCTTGAGCCACCGCGCCCGGCCAACATTTCCAGAATCTTGTTTGTGGTACTCGATCTGTATTCACGTCTCATGTGTACCACTGAGAAACCTTGGGTTCTCGGGCAGGTCATTTAACTGGCCTATACACACACTTCTCCTGCGTAGTGAGAGGCTTTTACTTCTTAGATTCTCCTCCTCTACCCCATCCTCTATAGGAGCCAGAAGAAATCCAAACTCACCTCTGCCCATATCTTCAACCTCTTTCTTCTGTGCAATACCTTTTATCTATCCTGGCTGCTCAGGTTTTTTCACAGCACTTCACAGTTTATGTGTGTTTTTGCTTTATTTACTTGTTGTTTGTTTCCCCCTCTGGACTAGATGCTTGATGGGGGCAGAGAATGTATTTTCATTCACTGCTCTAAAACCTGATGCGCAATAACATGTGTTGCACGTAAAAGATGCGCAAAAAATCCTGTGATGCTGCTATTACTTTCAGATAGGCAGGCAGCTTTTTCTTTCTCCTGATGTAGTGTTTATTAAGTTCTTTCCGGCCACTTGGACATTCATATTAAAATGAAATTTTAACTTTGTAAATAAAAATTACAATGCCATATGAAGGCTCAAGCTCCAGATATGTCAGTTTCTGTTGTATTCTTTGTTGATACATTTCTAGAATAGTTTTAAAATTACAGAATGTTCCTAGTGATTTGTTGTTTGCATATGACTTGGTAGCCTTGGCCTGTCCGTACTATAAAATGTGACTCTAGCCTAAGCTTAAGTATGTTGATGTATTTGTTGTGTAGGTGCCAAAAATTTACTCCTTTTAATAGTGTCAAATATTGATATCTGTCATCTGGAATGCAAGAATCTTCCTGAAAATTTGCTAATAAATGTAATACTACTGCCATACTGCCCAGAAATAATTTGTGTTTTTTTTGGGTGAAGTACCAGAATACCGTTTGGTCACTTACCTAGTGGCTTAAAGGAACCAGAGCATCTATCCAAAGGAGCCATTTAGTTTCCTCCCAGCACTTATGATTGAGCCTTTTTTGACTGTTTCAGAAGTGAGATTAGAGAAGTTTGTCTTGTTCTTTTGTCTCTTTTGAGGTTGAAGTTTAGGAGATTGACTCATTTTGGCCATTTTCTTGTTTCATTTTTACTGTAGGCAATAACTGGGGCTAAAGCTCTGGGGAGGCACTTGGCTATGCTTGCTGAAGTATTTGCATAGTTGGACTGTCTCTGGCAAATAAGTACATTTCATTTAAAGCTTTTCAAAGCTGTGTAAATCTTGGCAGAACCCCATAGAAAGCATAGCATATAGTTCCTTTTAAAACAACTACATTATTAAATGAAGAATTTGGGGAAAGCATATTGCTTTAATGGTCTTAATACCATTTAAAAAGATCCTTCTACATTAATATTCAAAATGTTTTCTAGTAGTGGTGGAAATCTTCTGCATCTACTAGTTCAAAGGTAGGCTTTCCCAGTCTTTTGGGATCTAGCAAGGATGTTTAGTCTTACCTGCAACTGTCCCTGCAAGAATGTAGATTTGAAGTTTTTAATAAAGTTGACCAGTTCATGTATTTCTGATGAATTAAATAGAGGAGAATGGCATTTGAGTAATCAGAAAATACTACCTTAAAATAAGAAAATTTAGAAAGTGATGGCATTATAATGTTTTCAAAGCGTAATGATGTTAACTAAATTATCCAGTTACTGACTAGTACTTTTTTTTATACCTATCCCCAGGGAAGGAAGAATATGCAAGATGGTGCAAGTGATGGTGAAATGCCAAAATTTGATGGTGCTGGTTATGATAAGGATCTGGTGGAAGCCCTTGAAAGAGACATTGTATCCAGGAATCCTAGCATTCATTGGTTAGAGTCTTTGAAATTATTGAATTAAAGTAGAGGAGAACACAAGTTATAGGTTGGCTTGGTGTGAGTTTTCTCTTGTTATTCATTAATCTGATTATGACCACCTCTGTAATGTGAAAGTATAGAATTGACGGGAGAGTTCTGTCGAAAGTAACCAGGACATTTTACATGTTAATTTGAAGTTGATATATAACTGACAAAAGTTGTTAATTCAGTGACATGTCCTCATTAATAACTAATGTTTTCACTGATGTTTTTATGCAATAAGAATTAGAATAATGTTCTTAATATGAGAACAATTTCATAAGTAAAAAAAATTAGAAGAATTAGATTTGACTATAAATCAAAGATCCCTGAATAAACATTATGAAACTTTGCTGTTCTTTCAAAGGGATGACATAGCAGATCTGGAAGAAGCTAAGAAGTTGCTAAGGGAAGCTGTTGTTCTTCCAATGTGGATGCCTGACTTTTTCAAAGGGATTAGAAGGCCATGGAAGGTGAGAATTTATTAAATTGGTTTTGGTATAAGAATGCTGCTTGCATCAGAATGAAAGGCAGCATTGCTGTAGTTTTTGATGTATTTAACCCATTTTGAAAAGGTTGGGAGAAGTTTATATACACCCAAAACACCTGGATTTGAATTTGTATTGTGATGTGTTACATCTGCATAGTAGAAGAGATGGGCTTGGAGTGTTGAAACTATATAGTCTTTAGGTCACTTCCCTCAGGGATGCTGAGCTAGAGATTAGTTTTAAGAATTTTCTAGATATATGGTTCTTTAAATAAAAAGTTAAGCAGATTAAGCAGAAATAATGCATAGTCTTATAGAAGAAAGGTATGATCAAACAGTTATTTTTCAAAAGTTGGAATATTTCTCATTGATGGTTATTTTGTTTTACTTGTCACTGACTTGAAGCTCATTGTTGACTGTTTTATAGACTACATTTGCTATATTTTGAGTTTTCACAAATGTTTTTTCTAAAGAGAGGTCTTTAGCTGTGTTTTAAAAAACGACTTCTTGACCGGGTACCATGGCTCACCCCTGTAATCCCAGCACTTTGGGAGGCTGAGGAGGGTGGATCACGAGGTCAGGAGATCGAGACCATCCTGCCCAACATGGTGAAATCTCATCTGTACTGAAAATACAAAAATTATCTGAGCATGGTGGTGCGTGCCTGTAATCCCAGCTACTCGGGAGGCTGAGGCAGGAGAATTGTTTGAAGCCGTGAATCAGAGGTTGCAGTGAGCCAAGATCGTGCAACTGCACTGTAGCCTGGCAACAGAGCCAGGCTCCGTCTCAAAAAAACAAACAAACAAACAAACAAAAAAAACCACTTCTTATGTCATTACAGAATATCTGACTTTATGAATTTATTTTGTCCTTGCTGTGCTTTTGTAGTATTTATTGGCAAACTGGCTTAAGAAAATAAGATATATTTCTAAAGAATCTTTTTCCTGACCAAATAATTTTTTTTCTGCAACAGTAGAATAAAATTCTTGACTAGAACTATTATTATTTTTTAAAAAATCATGTTTGAATTTTTTAGGGATTTGTGAGAATGGATTATTTACTAAAATGGGACAATAAATTTATTTTATTTATTTTTTGAGACTGAGTCTTACTCTGTTGCCCAGGCTGGTGTGCAGTGGCATGATCTTGGCTCACTGCAACCTCTGCCTCCTGAGTTCAAGTGATTCTTGTGCCTCAGCCTCCGGAGTGGCTGCAATTACAGGTGCGTGCCACCACGCCCAGCTGAATTTTGTATTTTTGGTAGAGGCTGGGTTTTGCCATGTTGGCCAGGCTGGTCTTGAACTCCTGGCCTCAAGTGATTCGCCCACCTTGACCTCCCAAAGTCCTGAGATTACAAGCATGAGCCACTGTTTCAAGCCTGATAAATGTATTTTAAAGAATACATGAAAATAAGGAGACCTCAGAAATTTTTCAGGTTTATAAAATTTGTCTCAAAACGTAAATTCCAGAATTTCAGAACTGGAATGAGTCTTTGAGATCATCTTAAATCCCCATTATTTGACAGACTAGAAAATTGAAGTCCAAATAGGTTGTGACAACCATAATAGACCTTTAGAAAATTTAAAATTCAATGTGTCTCAGCTTCTTATGTTTATATGTGCCTTTCCCTCCATAGCACACTTCTGCATTGTGTGATACCATTCCTTTATCCTTCAGGCATTTACTTAGCCCTGTTATATGTAAGGTTCCTTGTTTCTCAAGACATAGTCCCTGAGCTGTGAGACATCCTAAATAGAGAGTTGGGCAGTTACAGATAGCTTTCAGTGTTAGGCACTAGCAGAGCCTAATGGATGGTACAGTCCACATGTGCTTGGAAAGCTCAGCAAAGCACAAACATGACATGATTAGAGAAGGCTTTATGCTTGAGGACGTGGGATTCAAGCTGCAATTTGTAGGGTTGTGAGGATTTCACTGTGTTGGAGGAGACATTTTGGAGATGTAGGAACTTGAGGGGGATGAATGATGTGAGCAGTGGAATATAGTGAGAAAATGTAAGTGTGTTTGGGAATAGATGCGTTGACGTTTCGTAAGGAGGGCAGCATAGAATATTGGTAAGGGGCACAGATCCTGGATCCAGACTGGGTGCATACGAATTCTAACCATTTCCACTTATTCTGTGATCTTGAGCAAGTTATGGAACTTCTCCATGCCTCACTTTCCTTATCTATAAAATGGGAATAATAATAGTTATCTCATAGGATATAGTGAGGTTAAAATGAGTTAATGAGGCCGTAGAATTATGTAAATGTTGAAAACATAAATTAGTGGAAGATTCCAATGGGAAGGTAGGTTGAGGCCAGACTATATTTCCCAGGAGTTCTATTCTTTTTCTACAGATGTTTGGGAGACGTCTTTGAGCAGGTTGGTAGCATAATTAAACTGGTGAGTTGGAAAAAACAGTCTGGTTGCAATGAACACAGAAAGATGGGAGGCAAAGAGCATGTTCAGAAGTGATTGGCAGTAGTTTAGGCTTAAAATTCAAAGAGCCTGAATTAGGATGGTGATTATGAATTAGGAATGGAAGGACAGATGCTAGTGATATTTACTGAAGGAAGTTGGTAACCTTTTGGATGTAATATATATGTCAAGAAGAAGGCAGGGGTAAAGATAATTGGGTTTTGCCTGTGGCAGAATAGTGATGATAACATAAATGTGGAGCTCAGGAAGGAGAAAGACGCTGGTTTATTGTTCTTGATGTTGAAAGTTCAGTAGGAGCAGGGGGTGCTTCTGGGGAAAAAGATATGGAATTATTTTTGAGTTTTAAATTTTGGTATATTAACGTGGAAATGCACCAAGTTAGAAATACAGGGCTGGCCGGGCGCGGTGGCTCACGCCTGTAATTCCAGCACTTTCGGAGGCTGAGGCGGGCGGATCACGAGGTCAGGAGATCGAGACCATCCTGGCTAACACGGTGAAACCCCATCTCTACTAAAAATAAAAAATTAGCCGGATGTGGTGGCGGGCGCCTGTAGTCCCAGCTACTTGGGAGGCTGAGGCAGGAGAATGGTGTGAACCCAGGAGGTGGAGCTTGCAGTGAGCCGAGATCGCGCCACTGCACTCCAGCCTGGGGGACAGAGCGAGACTCCGTCTCAAAAAAAAAAAAGAAATACAGGGCTGAAGCTTGTGAGAGAAGTTAAAGACGGAGATATTAAGTGCCTTTTCAAAAATACGTATCTCTGGGATGAACTTTTCTGTAACAGAATAATAGCGAGGTCCTTCTTTATAAGTTTTAAGATCAGATTATATGATTTTTATAAAGGCAACATTTAAAATTTTACTTAGAAAATAAGGAGATGCCCAAGAAATAGACTACTGTATTTTCAGTGGCTGAAGTATAAACATATGCTTGAATCACTCTTACATTGAGACTCTAGCCATCTATCCATTTATCATCCAGCCTATCTTAGCACTTCTCAGACTGCGTCATAATTTATCTATCTATATTTTCTAATAGATTAAAAGTCTCTTGAGGATTTATGTGTGATTCCTGATAGATTCAATTTTTTTTTCCTCAGGGCCTAGTACTTAGTAAGCATTGGATACATTTACACTGGGTAAATACATATTTATTGAGTATTTACCTTGTGTCACGTGATAGGCTAAGTGCGGAGGATACCAAAATGAGTGAATAATAATAGCCCCCAAGAAGCTCATGGTCTTTGGGTGAATAAGCATGTGTTTAATGGAGGCCATGTGTTAAGTGCAGTATTTGTGGAGGACAGTGTGACTAGTGTCTGAAGGAGTAATGAACTCACTGCTATGGCAGGAGAGAGGAAGAGGGACTTAGTCTGCTGTGGAGAATAATATCAGGGATGGCCTCCCAGAGCAGGTGACTCTGAGCTGAGACTTGAAAGATGAATAGAAGTTAAACAGGTAGATGTGATGAAGAAAGGCTCTACGGCAGAGTGGATATCATGTACAAACACATGAAAAGTGTAAGAGAACATATATATGTGAGGAATCTTCTGTAGTTCAGTGTGGCTGGAAGGATAGAGTGTTTATATGGGACATAGTAACAAAAGACACTGCTGGAGTGGTTGGTGTGACCTACTTCTCACGAAGAGCCCTGCATGCCATGCCGAAGATGTCAGTGAGCCACTGAAGAGTTTTTAGTAGAAGGGTATTTGCAAGTGTAGGAAGATATCTTTTCTGTAGCAGTATGGAGGATAGGTTGGGGATGGACATAGATGGACATGAAAAAGTAATCTCATCAGGAGGCTGGTGAAATAATCTAGCCAAACAATGCGGACAGATACCTGTAGAAAGGCATGGGCTTTTTGGTTAGTGAAGGATCAATGGATTTGTGAGAGATGTTTAGAAGGTATAAGTGACTGACTGTTTACAGGGATGTGGGAGAGACAAGTTGTACGACTCCGAGATTCCAGGCTTGAATTGAATGACTTCTGACATGACCTACCTAGAGTTGGGCCAAACTTCACGGGTTGAGAGCCCAGTTTTCCGCAAGACTGCCCTCACGTCAGACACTAGCTGCAAGCCTGGGGGTCCCTGGGTCACTCTTGCAACCAGCTGGCTACAAATTCAGGGGTTCCCACTACCCTCTCAGGTTTGATAATTCTCTAGAACAACTCACAGAACTTAGGGAGGCCTTACAGTTGAGCCCAGGACAACATAGGCAGGAACATCGCGGATCCCCTTACACGTGGCTTTTCTTCTGCCTCTGCCGCCCCAGAGACAACAAGGCCAACCCCTCCTTTTCCTCCTCCTCCTCAGCCTATCCAAGCTGAAGACCTTTAAGGTGACACACTTCCATTTAATGAATAATAAATATATTTTTCTCATAATTTTCTTAATAATGTTTTCTTTTTTCTACGTTTATTGTAAGAATACAATATACAATACATATACAAAATACGTGTTTACAGTTTTTGTTATCAGCAAGACTTCAAGTCAACAATAGGCTATTCATTGTTATGTTTTTTTGGGAATCAAAAATTATATGCAGATTTTTGACTGTGTAGGGGATTGGTGCCCCAACCCCTGAGTCGTTCAGGGAGCAGCTGCACTTACAATGATATTGTTATTATAGCCAAAGGATATAAATCGGAACCAGCCAAAAGGAGAAACTTACAGGGCGAGGTCTAGAAGGATGCGCAAGGTGACGCTTCTTTCGCCCTCTCTTCCTGGAGTCAGGATGCTTTACTCTCCTGGAAGTGTGACAATATGGAGATTATGGCATCACATGGACGTGTGATAGTACTGCTATAGTTTGGATATGGTTTGGTTATTTGTCCCACCAAATCTCATGTTGAAATTTGATTCTTGATGTGGTAGTGTTGGGAGGTGGTGCCTAATGGGAGGAGTTTGGGCCATGGGGGCAGATCCCTCTTGAATGGCTTGGTGCCGACCTCATGATAATGAGTATGTCCTCACTCTGTTCATTCTCATGAGAAGTGGCTGTTGCCCCTCTCTCTTGCTTCTGCTCTTGCCATGTGAGTTCTGCATGCTGCTGGCTCCCTTTCACCTTTCTCTATAAGTGGAAGCAGCATGAGGCCATCACTAGAAGCTGAACGGGTGCAGGCACCATGCTTCCTTTACAGCCCGCAGAACTGTGAGCCAAATAAACCTTTTTTTCTTTAAAATTACCCAGCCTCAGATATTTCTTTGTAGCAACACAAATGGACTAAGAGAAATACATAGAGTATTGCCAATTAGGGACGCTCACGTGATCAATTGAATCATTGCCCATGGTTGTTAATCTCTTGTTGTCTTCCTCTCCCCAGAGGTTGAGCTGATATCACATGGCTCAAAGCCCCAGCTCTGTAACCACATGGTTGGTTTTCTTGGCATGGTCACCCCCCATCCTGAGTTGTCTTGTTGGTGTTAACTATATAGGGGCCAACCATGAGTCACCTGATTAGCATAAAATTTCAGGGCCTATTGTGATAACAAAAATAATCCTGTCGGTAGGGTATTTCCACGGTTTTAGAGGCTACTTTCCAGGGACCGGGGACAAAGGCCAGCTAAATTCTTTATTATACAGGGTGCAGGGAACTGATATTGGAAATAGAGAAAGGAGCAGGTTTAAATAGAAACAAAATGTGTTTCAGTAAATACTCAGCAGCTAATTCGAAATAGAGGCCGGGAGCTTCAGATAAAATTCAGTAAAATTGTGAGATAGAAAGGTTGGTTGATGATATGGGTATGGATGAGTTTGTTCAGGAGTTTTTAAAGGGAAAGGTTTAGAATTGCTTTGGGACTGTAAAGGGCAGAGGAAAGAGGAGATCTGAGGCGGTGAACATAGCCAGAGAGCAGAAGTGTCAGGAAAAGGGCAGTGTCAGGGTTTCAAGAAGAGGGGGATTAATACCATGTATTAATCAAAGCAGCGTCAAAGAGAAGTCAGGGAGGCCCGACTGAAGAGTGGTCATTAGGTTAGTAAATGAAGTATTTTTAGTGAATTGGTGAAGACTAAAGTCATGTTGTAGCTTATGAAGAAGAAATAGCATAAACCATTGAAGATCGGCTGTGAGAGGAAGGAGAGGTTGATAGTAGCTAGAGGATTTGTAGAGTAAGTGAAGGATTTTTTTTTTTTTGGTGTCAATTTTATCTATCTTTTTAAAACATTTGTGTTTTTGAATTGATACATAATAAATGTACATACTTTTGGGGTTCATGTGATAATATATTTGCATAATTTGTAAAGATCCAATCAGTGTAAATGGGATATCCACTACCTTTAACATTTGTCTTCATGCTAAGAACATTCAAATTATTAAATTATTCTCTTCTAGTTATTTTGAAATATACAATCGACTATTGTAAACTATGGTCACACTACTGATCTGTCAAGTTGTACTCATTAATCAGCCTCTCTTAATTCTCCCTTGACCCCTACCCTTCCCAGCCTCTGGTAACCATCAGTCTATTGTGTCTTTATGAGATCCTTTTTTAGCTCCCACAAATGAATGAAAACATGTGATATGTGTCTTTTTGTGCTTGGTGTATTTCACTTAACGTAGTGACTTCCACCTCCATCCATGTTGCTATAAATGACAAGATTTTATTCTTTTTTATGGCTGTATAGTATTCCATTATATATACACCACATTTTCTTTCTCCATTCATCCATTGTTGGGCACTTAGGTTGATTTCATGTTTTGGCTGTTGTGAACAGTGCTGTGATAAAGACAGGAGTGCAAATAACTCTTTGATATATTGATTCCCTTTTTTTTTTTTTCTTTTTTTGGATATATACCCAGTAGTAGAATTGCTGGATCATATGGTAGATCTACTTTTAGTTTTTTGAGGAACTTCCACACAGTTTTCCACGGTGGCTTCCACCAACAGTATAGGAGCATTCCCCTTTTTCCATATCCTCACCATCATCTATTATTAGCTATCTTTTTGATGAAAGCCATTTTAATTGGAGTGAGATGATCTCATTTTGGTTTTGACTTGAATTTCTCTAATGATTAGTGATGTTGAGCATTTTATATCTATTGGACGTTTGTGTGTCTTTTGAGATATGTCTATTCAGACCTTTTGCCCATTTTAAAATTGGGTTATTTGTCTTTTTGCTGTTGAGTTGCTTGAGCTGCTTGTGTGTTCTGGTTACTAATCCCTTGTCAGATGGATATTTTGCAAATATTTTCTCCTATTGTGGGAGTGTCTCTTTGTTGTTTCCTTTGCTGTGCAGAAGCTTTTTAGTTTTATATAATCTGTTTATCTGTTTTTGCTTTGGTTGTCTGTGCTTTTGAGGTCTTACACAAAAAATCTGCCTGGACTGATGTCCTGTAGCATTTCCCCAGTGTTTTCTTCTAGTAGTTTCATAGTTTCAGGTTTTTAACCTATTTTGATTTGATTTTCGTATATGGCCTTTAATCCATTTTGATTTTTGTATATGGTGAGAGATCAACATCTAGTGTCATTCTTCTGTATATGGTTATCCAGTTTTTCCAGCAACATTTATTGAAGAGACTGTTCTTTCCTTAAGGGCTTTTTGTAACGTGACAGATTCAAGTGTATTTATATACCGAGGGGAAAGAGCCAGTAGACAAAGAGATACAGGAAAGAGAGAAATTAATTAAAGGAGTAATGTCATGAGAAGGTGAAGTTTATAAATATCATACAGTAGCTATGAACAGATGCTAATGTTAGAAATGAACTCCTATAGGAGGTGGCCACATTAATGGCATTACAGGATGGCCCTCTCAGAGAGAATGGAAAAAGGCATCGCAGAAATAAGAACTTTGCTCTGGCTATGCCTATAGCATCAATTGGTCGTTTTCATGGTTTTTAAAATCTCAACCTCATGCAAAGTTGAGGGCTCCCTAACAAAACAAAATATTTTTTTAAAACTAATGTTTCAAATCTTAGTGATTCCTGGTTGATCTGTGTATCAAAATTCTATAGCTAGAAAAGCATTTGGACAGTTTCTGAACTTGGAGTTTATGGAACTTTGACATACACATAGTTTTCAAAGCTTAAATCCCCAGAAACTTGTCAAACCAAAGTAGCAATTGGATCAGAATTCCTCTTAAGGAATCACCAAATATTATGCACAAAAATTTAGTGTGAGCTATGTGTTTAAACTCTAAAGTACTGGAAGAAAATAATTAAAGAACCCATTAGTTTTTTAAGACTAGAGGATTGGTTTCCTTGAATAATTTTTATTCCTCACTGATTTGTTTTTATAGAATACTTTTATGTTTGTTTTCAAAACTAAGAAGTAACTAAAGTTTGGTTTTTATTCTGCATTTACTGGCTCTTTCATCACTATCACTGTTTTATATAAACTAACACTTTAAAATGATACAAATCTTGCTAATTTGATTATGTTTGAATCACCACTGGATTTTTTACTGTTACCTTATTAACTCATAAATGGGTCTTTATTTTTTACTGAAAGCTGTATATTATAAATGCACTGTGGAAGATAGGTTCTGTCCCTTATAGAGGGTAAGGAATGTGTAATTCTGCCACATGTGATAGAAAATGTCTTTTTTTTAATATGTGTAAACAGAACAGTTGCTTTTAAGCAGTGCTCAGTATTATATGTATATATCATATGCCACGTTCAGGAAACTGAGATTCTATCTAAATATATGAGAAAACTGTTTGTTGTCTAGGCTTTTTGTTAGATTATCTCTGACTACCTCTGACTTGAGACATTTTGTGAAATTTCTTCATTTTTTTCTAGCTATAAAATGATACTCTTGCTAAATGCATCATGATTTTACTGTGACAATTTTGAGTTTATCTTTTGATGGAAAAATCTTAATGTACATTAATAGCTGATGATAATTTATAAAACTTTTTTAATCTGATAAATCATTTAATTCATCTTTTGAAATGTCAGGGTGTACTGATGGTTGGACCCCCAGGCACTGGTAAAACTATGCTAGCTAAAGCTGTTGCCACTGAATGTGGTACAACGTTCTTCAACGTTTCCTCTTCTACGCTGACATCTAAATATAGAGGTGAATCTGAGAAGTTAGTTCGTCTGTTGTTTGAGATGGTGAGTGACGATAAATTCAGATTTTAAAGTAGTGTGTGTAGGCCTATGATGCTCCCATAAATCAGTTCTGTCCACCTGGAATCTTTTTTGAAAAGGGCAGTGTAGTTCTATTTTAATAGTTCTTGACGCACTGACGAGAAATGGGATGATGAGTTTTGTGGGGTAGTTGGTGTATCTTCAGTGTATCTTTTTCTTTAAGGTACAGCAAGGCCTTTTGGCATCCTGTCCACTGAGGGTGGGGGAAGAGACTTTGGTTGTGTGTGTGGGTTGACTGGTATTTCTGCATCTCTAGTGAGCTGATGGAAGAGAAGAATATTTTAATATGTATTTTAAAAATCAGAGCCTGACCTGTCATTAAAGTTTATTCCTTTTTCATATGGGATTTGCAGTAACTTAAGAATGTATATGTGAGGATTGAGATTGACTTATTTTTGAAAAATTTTTCATTATGGAAATTTTCAGACATGAATGTAGAAAGCATAGTACAATGAACCCCTATGTATCTATCACCCAACTTCACCAGCCATATAACCTTTATTTTTAGAAATTTCTTTTTTCTCATGGGAATGATTGATTTAGCCTTTGCCATAACCAGGTGATGGCATTAAAACAGTGAGAAGTTTCTGCTCTCTTTTGCCATTGCTTTAAAAGATTTTTTTAAGTACTCCGATTGTTTTATGAGATTATTGAATGATTTCTTTAAAATATTTTCATAAAGGCTAGATTTTATGCCCCTACCACGATCTTCATTGATGAGATAGATTCTATCTGCAGTCGAAGAGGAACCTCTGATGAACATGAGGCAAGTCGCAGGGTCAAGTCTGAACTGCTCATTCAGATGGATGGTAATTGATACTTCATTATTGTTTCGAAACTCTTACTTTTCAATATTTTGTGTGAACTCATAATCAATGGATGGATTAGAAGGCAACCTAAGTTTAATTATTTGTTCATTCACCCATTTGTTCATTTGTTCATGCACCCAGAAAGCATTGCACCATTTCAGGTTCTGAGGTTACAAAGAAAAAGGCTACTACGGCCTTCAAGGAGCTTACTATTTGGAGCAAAGGTTCTAGAGGCGTGATCTAGAGTCCTAGGGATCCTTGAGACCCTTTAAAGAATCTGCAAGGTCAAAACTATTTTCATAGGAATATCAAGTCATCGTTTGCCTTGTCTTTTTCACTCTCATTCTCTCACAATGTACAGTAGAGTTTTCTAGAGGCTGTAAGATGTAGGGTATCATAAAAGGTAGAAAGCAGAAGCAGATATGAGAATCCAGCTTTTCTCTAGTTAGACCTTAAAGAGATATGCAAAAATGTAAAAAAAAAAAAAAGCCCCTCTGCTTTTTAAAAATATTTTGGAAAACATACTTTTCATTAAAATATGTAAATAAGTAATGAATTTATCATTTTTAAGTGAACTAATATTTTTAAATTTCAATTTTAGGTTTTTTCTTTTTTTTCTTATAATTTACCCATGCACCATCTATTTTAAGTTTTAAAGATATTGATAGATACACTCCACACACAAAAAAGCTGTTTGGGGTTCTTAATAATTTTTTTTTTTTTAAGGTTCAGAGTCTTGCTCTGTTGCCCAGGCTGGAGTACAGTGGTGTGAACACAGCTTGCTGCAGCCTTGACCTCCTGGGCTCAAGCAATCCTCCTGCCTCAGCCTCCTAAGTAGCTGGGACCACAGGCGCATGCCACCACATCTGGTTAAGTTTTATTTTTTTGTAAAGACAGGGTCTCGTCGTGTTTCCCAGGCTGTAGTTGTACTCTTGAGCTGAGGTGATCCTCTGGACTCAGCCTCTCTAAGTGCTAGGATTATAGACATGAGCCACTGCATGCAGCCTCAGTAATTTTTAAGAGTATGAAAGGGTCCTGAGATCAAACAGTGTGAGAACCACTGATCTGGATGAGAAGCAGGCAACTGATCAGATGAGTATAATACATTTTGGTACATTCTGGGGTGGAAGTAAAGTCTGGGTGCAGTGGAAACACAGGAGAGGCACCACCAAGACTAAGGGGGAGTCATGGAAAGAGATAGCCGAGTTGGACTTTGAAGCATTGGTAGGAGTTATCCAGACAGAGAAAAAGGGCCCTGAGGAGCCTTAGAAGGAAGAGGGTTATGGGCTCAGAGCTGCCGTTTAGAGATAAGTTACTCTGGTAGTTAGTTGTGTGGTAGACAAGAGGCTGTTCAAGCAAAACATTAGAACAGATAAAATATGTTTAAAAATATCCAGGGTGAGGGACTGAGTGCAGTGGCTCATGCGTGTAGTCCCAGCACTTTGGGAGGCTGAGGTGGGAGGATCACTTGAGGCTAGGAGTTCAAAACCAGCCTGGTTAACATAGCAAGACTTGAAGCAACAACTTTAAAAAGTAGCTGGGTGTGGTGGCACGTGCCTGTAGTCCCGGCTACTCAGGAGGCTAAGGTGGGAGGATAGCTTGAGCCACAGGAGTTGGAGGCCACAGTGAGCTGTAATTGTGCCATAGCACTCCAGCCTGGGCAACGGAGCAAGAACCTGTCTCATAACAACAACAACAACACACCAGTAATATCCAAGTTGTATTGTTTCAAAACAGTCATGGTTATTCATCAACTATGGATACTTACTGAATACTTACAATGTACTATGAGACCCTTCCCTTAATGAGTTTACCATTTTAACTTTTGCTAAAATATGAGAGAAAGGAATGAGTATGTTTTATTTTTGAGGTGGGATATAGGGGAAAACATTAGGTGTTTAAAATTGGAAAAGGAAATTACTGAATACAAATTTAGTCAGCTGAATTTCATTGAGGGATATTTGTGATTATTGTTGATTATTAGTTGGACAGCTTGATTCTTTGTCATAATGATTGGAGTTTAGTAATAAGAAAATGTTGTAAGTTTCAGTGAGCCAACATCATGCCAGAGCACTCCAGCCTGAACAATGGAACCAGACCTTGTTTTTTAAAAAAATAACTATATTGAGCTAGGTTGCTTTAAATCCACTAGTACTTTATTATGCCAGACTAGAAAGTCTTATCAGTAAAATTTACGGGTTTTTTATCTTTTATTTTTCACTACATATTTTCTAGAGTTTCTGTTGTGTGACCTGAAATTTTTTATTCTAAAAAGGAGACACTGTGTACGTACATGTAGTTCGTTTGGTTATTTTTATCTGTGATTACTGGGTTCATTCTTAAATGTCTTGTTTGTTTTTTACAAGTCACTTACAAGTTTAAAGGACAACATCATGGAAATATAACCTGTCTTTCAAAATTATAATTGCATGCTAGAATATTAAGTAAATGTGAACCCTCTGTTTCCACTTCTTGAGAAAATAGACTAAAAACTAAAGTAAAATATTTGCGGAACTTTATGATTTCAAAGAAATAAGAGGAATAAAACAGAGCCTAATCTCCCATGCCTTTTCTTTTGAGAGGAAATATACATTCATTTTCTTACAGAAAAATGGATATTTTTATTGGATTAAAATCCTGCACTGGGTTACACAAGAAAAAAACAAAAAAAGAAAAATCCCACACTAGGTTATGTGAATTCTTCTACTTCTTTGTTTTGTAGTTATCTGTTGATGAGTCTGGTTTTGCCACCACACAGAGGTTAGGACTACACTGTCTTCTTCATCATTGATTCTGTCACTTTGGCTAACAGAAATGTTAACTGAATGAAAGTGTAAAGGGTTGTAAGAAAAACACTATCTTTTCCTCCCTTCCTGTGTATAGGAGTTGGAGGAGCTTTAGAAAATGATGATCCTTCCAAAATGGTTATGGTATTGGCTGCTACTAATTTCCCGTGGGACATTGATGAAGCTTTGCGAAGAAGGTTAGAAAAAAGGATATATATACCTCTCCCAACAGGTATGATGCCTTCTCTATTTTGAGCTTTCTGTTACTTTCTGTTACCTTTCCCATGTATCTGAATCTTTATTCCATTGCCATTCTGCTTAAAGAAGCAGAATAACATCACAAAACTAATTTGTAGTAGATGTGAACACAGGCCACAGTACTCTATTGAAATTTCTTACGTTTCAGAGAAATTCTTAAATTTGGAACAATATTCATGTTAATAAATATGGTAGCACTTTTAAGTTTTCACTTTTAAACTTGAAGGTTTTTTAAAATCTTTTTCAAAACATGCTGTTTTGGAGTGAGTGTGTGTGTGTGTGTATTTTTATTTTTTTATTTTTGAGACAGAGTCTTACTCTGTTGCCCAAGCTGGAGTGCAGTGGCGTGATCTGAGGTCACTGCAACCTCCACCTCCTAAGTTCAAGTGATTCTTGTGCCTTAGCCTTCCGAATAGCTGGGATCACAGGTGTGTGCCACCACACCCAGCTAATTTTTGTGTTTTTAGTAGAGACAGGGTTTTGCCATGTTTTCTAGGCTGGTCTCGAACTCCTGGCCTCAAGTGATTTCGTGTCTCGGCCTCACAAAGTGCTGGGATTACAGGTGTGAACTGCCACGCCTGGCCTGGAAAATATAATTTCATCCTGTTAATGAATGCTGAAATTTCCGTACATGAATTTTTTCTTTTTATTTTGAGGTAAAATGTGCATAGAATGAAATGTACTTAAGTATATAATTTGGAAGAGTACAAATCAGTACTCCTGTTTAATCAATACTGTAATCAAGATGTAGGGCATTTCTATCATCCTATAAAGTTCCTGTGTGCTCCTACCAGCTAACCCTCCAATAGTCATTCACTGTACGTGATTTTTATCACCATAGATTAGTTCTTTCTCTTGTTAAACTTCATATAAATGGAATCGTAACAGCATGTACTCACTGTGTCTGGCTCCTTTCACTTGAGGTTCATCCATGTGATCACATGTATCAGCAGTTTATTCCTGGTTTGATTATACCACGATTTCTTTATTCTCCTTTTGATTGGTATTTAAGTTATTTCTAGTTTTTTGGCTATTATGAATAAAGCTGTAAACTTTCTTGTACATATCTTTTTTATGGATGAATGTTTTCAATTCTTTTGGGTAATATAAGAAAAGAAAGGATGGGTCATAGGGTAGGCATATGTTTAGCTTTTATAGGAAATACCCAAATTATTTTTCAGAATGGTTGTACCATTTTGTATTCCATCATCAATAAATGGTAATTCAAATACTTCCGTATCCTTGCCGACATGTGGTGTTGTCAGTATTTTAATTTCAGTCATTCTAGTAAGTATGAAATGCTATCTCATGATTTTAATTGGTATTTCTCTGATGACTTACATAGAGTACCTTTTTATGTGCTTTTCATGGTCATGGTGTACTTTTTGTGTAGTGTCATTTCTTTTTCCCAGTTTTTAATTGGATTATTTGTTGCTTTATTAATGCTTTTTATGTTATTAGATCTGTGCATTGTGAATATTTTCTTCCAGTTTGTGGTTTGCTTTTGATTTTCTTTATGGTATCTCTTAATACGTAGACATTTTACATTTTGATGAAGTCCTGTTGACAGTTTTTTTAAATGAATAGTACTTTTAGTGTCTTAAGAAATCTTATCTATCCCAAAGCTGCAAAGTTTTTCTCCTGTTTTCTTTTGGAAACTGTATTTATGTCTGTGATTCCTCTTGAATGAATGTGTGTGTGTGCGTGCGTGTGTGTGTGTGTGCAGATGAGTAATTTTTTTCATATATACAGTTGTAGCATCACTTACTGAAAGTTTTATTTTTTCATTGAATTACTTCGGCACCTTCATTGAAAATTATTTTCTTGTGTATGTGTGGGTCTGTTTCTGAATACTATTCTGTTCCATCGTTTTTTAAATCCACACACATGGTTACCTAAGTTACTTGTTTTTTTCTTGAGCAAGCTTTGGTAGCTTGTGTCTTTCAAAGAATTTGTCTATTTTTTATAAGTTGTCAGATTGTTTTGGATTTGACCTAATGTGAATGTGGAAGCTGATTAAATAGTTATGAGAGATGGTGGATTTCATGTCTGGTTCTGGAACTTGAAGTCAATAAGGAGGGCACTTAGGAAGAGATGATGAATGTGAAGTGGTAGAAGTAAGGACAAACTCTACCTGTGGAGGTAGAATCCATGAGGATACATTGAAATCTGTGTTGAACTCTTTTTTTTCTGCTGAGACTCCTAACCTTGATGAATGGGCTTTCTGACAGAAGAAGCTAGCTAAATGTATACCTGGCTCAAGAGTCAAGAAAGCTGAAGGGGCCGGATGCGGTGGCTCAAGCCTGTAATTCCAGCACTATGGGAAGCCGAGGCGGGCGGATCACGAGGTCGGGAGATCAAGACCATCTTGGCTAACGCAGTGAAACCCCGTCTCTACTAAAAATATAAAAAATTAGCCAGGCGTGGTAGTGGGCGCCTGTAGTCCCAGGTACTCGGGAGGCTGAGGCAGAAGAATGGCATGAACCCGGGAGGCGGACCTTGCAGTGAGCTGAGATCGTGCCGCTGCACTCCAGCCTGGGTGACAGAGCGAGACTCCATCTCAAAAAAAAAAAGCTGAAGGAAGAAATGTGGCAGAAACTACAAAGAGCTGAAGGTGCAAGTGCTGCCCCACACTAACAAGGAGAACGGAGAACCAAGAAATAAGTGACAGTATGTGCCAGCTTTCTGAGATGATTCATTTTTGCCTTTCACGTCTCAGACATAACTCGTGGTCCACAATAACCCAGAACTATGCAATAAAGAGAATTCTGGGAAATGAAATTCCAGCTCCACTTAAGTTGGCATAATACAAATCTACACACCTTATTTTCCTTTTTTTGGCCATAGGATCTGTAGTGATGGCTCATTTTTCATTCCTAATATTAGTAATTTCTCTCTATTGTTCTTCATAATTTTTTGGTTGAGATTTATCAATATTGTTAATCTTTTCAAAGAACCAAATTTTTGCTTTGTTAATTTTCTATTTTCTATTTCAGTGTTTTCTTCTCTCTTTAAAACAATTTTTTTTGCTTTATACTTTGAGTATAATTTTTTCTTTCTGAAGTTAGAAACTAAGATTATTGATTTTAGGGATAGCCCTCTCCCACTTTTTTTTTTAAGAGACAGAATCTTGCTCTGTTACCTAGGAGTGCAGTGGCATGATCGTAGCTCACTGCAGCCTCAAACTTTTGGGATCAACAGATCCTTCCACCTCAGCCTCTTGAGTAGGGACTGCAAACACATGCCACTGTGCCTGGCTCATTTTCTTTATTTTTATTTTTTGTAGAGACAGAGGCTTGCTGTGTTTCCCAGGCTGGTCTCAAACTCCTGGCCTCAAGCAATCCTCCCGATAGCACTGGGATTGCACATGTGAGCCACTGCACCTGGCCTTTTTTTTCTTTTTTTAATGTGTACATTTTAAAGCTATAAATTTCTCATTAAGTACTGCTTTGCTTTTATCTCACAAATTTTGCTATATCTTTTTTTTCTATTAAGTTAGAACTATTTTCTAATTTTCCTTTTTTTCCCCCTTTCTTTGGTCCTTGAGTTATTTAGCATTTAAATTGGTTTGGGAGCCAAATAACTGGGGTATTTTCTAGATATCTTTTTGTTGATTTTTAATTTAATTCCATTGCAGTCAGGAACATACTCTGAATGATGTGAATTTTTGAGCTGCTTGAGATTTGCCCTTCAGCCTATAGTCTATCTTGGTGAATGCTCCAGATGCAATTGAATAGATTGTTTATTCTGAGCTTGTTATAACATTCTATAAATGTCAGCTAGATGAAGTTGGTGTGATAGTGTTATTCCAATAATAAGATCCTTGCTGACTTTTTAATCTAGTTTTTCTATCAATTACTGAGAGTGGCTTATGGAAATCTTCATCTGTGACTGGGAACTTGTTCATTTCTCCCTTTAGTTCTTTCAGTTTCTGTGTTATGTTTTGCTTCATGTGTTTTGATGTTCTGTTGTTAAGTAAATAAATTATCATTGTTATATCTTCTTGGTCCTATTACCACTATGAAATGCCTCTCTATCTCTGAGAATACACTTTGACTTGGTATCTGCGTTGACTGCTATTAATTTAGCCTCACTGTCTTTCTTTTCCTATTGTTGGTGTGCTAATATGCTTTTCATCTTTGATTTTTACCCCAACCTGTCTTTATATTTACAGTGCAGTTTTTATAGACAGCATATAGTTGAGCCTTGCTGTTTGTCCAGTCTATCTCTCTTTGTTTGTTTGTTTGAGTTGGAGCCTCACTCTGTTGCCCAGGCTGGAGTGTAGTGGTGCGATGTTAGCTTACTGCAACCTCTGCCTCCCAGGTTCAAGCGATTCTCCTGCCTCAGCCTCCCAAGTAGCTGGGACTACAGGCATGTGCCACCATACCTAGCTAATTTTTTTGTATTTGTAGTAGCGACAGGGTTTTGCCATGTTGTCCAGGCTGGTCTTGAATTCCTGAGGTCAGGTGATTTGCCCACCTTGGCCTCCCAAAGTGCTGAGATTATGGGCGTGAGCCACTGCGCCTGGCTGTCTCTGCTTTTTAATAGAAGTATTTATTCCATTTAAATTTAATGTAATTAGTGATATAACTGTGTTTAAGTCTGCCATCTTGCTGTTGTACTGTTTGTTTCTCTGTACCCCCCTTGCTAATTTCTTTTGGGCTAATTGACTGTTTTTACTATTCATTTTAATGCCATTAGTGGATTTTTAGCTGTACCTGACTATATTTATTTTAGTAGTTGCTCTAGCAATTACAGTATGCATAATTTTATATAGTTGTGTGTGCTTTTATCTTTTAAATTGTATGCCTAAATCAAAAGTGATTTATATACCACCACCGTTATAGTACTACAGGATTCTGTACTTGTCTTATATTTACCTTTATTAGAGAACTTTATATTTTCATTTACTTTTGTGTTGCAGTCTAGTATCCTTTTGTTTCAATTTGAAGGACTCCATTCAGCAATTTTTGC